ACGTCATCTACTCGATCATTGGTCAGGATCAGCTTGGCAAGCCAATGCGGTGTAACCCTGGAGAAGGCGCTCTGAGACTGGCAAGAGCGCTTGTCGAGGTCAACATGGCTCCCTGCAGTGTCACACCTGCGTCAGTCCATCCGCCATCGTACTTCTCGCCGTGTGTCGGCTTCCCGCGAGCGATCTCACCGGTCCGTCGTCTCAGCATAGACACAGTCCGCCGATCCTTCGACGCGACACACGCAACACTGGGACCGCTGGTCCCTCACACCAGAGCCTTCCGCGCTAGCAACGGGTACATCATCGGCGGCAAGAAGGTGTTTTACGACGAGAGCGAGGTGGCCGAAGAGCTGGGAAAGCACAAAAAGAGGCAAGGAGAGTGCGCCTGCTTCACGATGTGGGAAGGAGGCCTCAGCCGGGCGCTGAGCGGGTCATGCTGACGAGGGACGGCGCTCGATGACCACCAAAATGAGGTCAGGACATGACCTATCGTGTGCATAGTTTAGAAGTTGTAGAAGGCATATCCAGGGCACACATGCATCGTCGGACTGGGTCCACACGAAGCCCTACCATTCTCTGCCTTCGCCATTCGGGCCTCTCCATACGGGAACACTGCGGTGTCAGCTCGTCAACCTCCAACGCAGCACTCACCGCCAGTGATACCCTGCATTCTCCTTGTCTATCTGCCTGACGAGCTCCTCGTTGATCTCGATGCCCAGTCCGGGGGCCGTCAACAGTCCAATCGACCCTTCCTTGACGTCAAAGACATCGGTGCTCTTCAGGTACGTCATGAGGTCGTAGCCTTCCTGGGCGTAGTGCATCTGCCATGACATCTCGGAGATGACAAAGTTGGGCACCGCGAAACCCAGCTGGAGCGTCGCGGCGAAGGAAATGGGGCCATTGGGGCAATGCGGCGCCATGCCGATGTCGTAGATCTCGGCGTAGGCGGCAATGCGGCGAAGCTCCGAGATACCACCGCAATGTGAGACGTCGGACTGGCAGATGTCCATGCAGCCCTGCGATCCCGTTAGCACGTGAGCCGAGACTGGATAAGCGCACGCACACTCTCGAAGTATGGGCGACACTCCTGCCTGCATGTGAGCCGCTCGCCCGTAGCAATGGGAATCGTGGTCTGCTGGTACAACTTGGCGAGCTCCTCTTGCTGGAACGGCAGGAGCGGCTCCTCGATGAAGTACGGCTCGACCGGCTCGAGCTTTCTCGCCAGCTGCTTGGCCATACCCTTGTGAAGCCTTCCATGGAAGTCGAGGCCGACATCGAGGCCGAGTGCCTTGACCTCCTTCACCCGCTCGACCACCTCATCGAGCTTGGACGGCGAGTCGATCCACCCCAGCTGGCCCGTCGCGTTCATCTTGAGAACGGTGAACCCTTGCTCCTTGCGGACCTTGGCAGCTGCGCCTACGTCATGGGGAGTGTCTCCGCCCACCCAGCCGTACACGTTGACACGGTCGCGGCTGCACCCGTCAGATTCGAGGCTTCGACGTCGACCGTTGTCGCTCACACTCTACCACCAAGCAGTTGCCAGATGGGGACTCCTAGGGCCTTTCCTTTGATATCCCAGAGGGCAATGTCTAGTCTGCAGGGCATAAGTGCTTTCTCTCTCTAGGCAGCCACTGCGAGGCTCACCCCGCGATGGCAGCTTGGAGCACCGGGCCACCTCGGTGGAACCTATGCCTGAAGAGATGCTGCCACATATCCTCAATGTTTGCCGGGTCCCAGCCGATCAGTCGCGTCTTGAAGTCTTCAAACGCCCCGACTATCGCATCGCTGTGGCCGTCCAGCATCGTCTCGCCCCATCCCACGATGCCATTCTTGGTTTCGACTCGCACAAAAACCCATGAGCGGGGCTTGACAAGGAAGGTCTCGATCTTGGTGATGAGATCCGAGCCCGCGGTGCGGAGACCCTTGTCCTCGGACGGGTCATATGCGAGCAGCGGAGAGTTGGGGTCGTACTTGCTCATGATGAGCCTGTTCCAGGTGGATGCTCCGTCCATCCACGGGGCACCTATAAGCGCTGAGTGAGCAATGAGGGGCAACCGTGAAATGCCGCACTCAGCCGACATCACGATCGGATATCGGCGTGGCCCCCGTACCGATCGAACGCGGTGGGCTTCTAAGCCTCCTCGACTTCGATGGACTCTCGGCTCAAAGTCAAGACGTCTCGGCGAGTAATTGTCCCGGTTCGCAAGGCCGAGGGCCGCGGTGTCGGAAGCGCTCTTTCCCGGCCAGATGGTGACATGCCGACATCATCTACAAACAGACCTGACGTTGGCTACAGAACCCTTGACAAGGACGTCCTGTGGTGACCCTTCCCTCCCCTGTTGACGCGTTCGACTCTCCGCTCGATGCTCCCCAGGGCGCTGCGGCGCTCCTTCTGGTGGAAGCCAAACATGTGGGATCGCCGCGAGATCGGTTCACTCATGACTTGTGAGCCACGCGGCTGCCATCGTGAGACACATGTACTCGAGTACAGTACATTCCCAGTACGGTGCTCGTATAGCTTTCACTCCGCTCGTCGTTCTTCACGCACCATATACCCGTGATCATTGCACGCCATACGAGTCCCGCCATTGTCACGTGCTCTGGCACAGACACTCCGAGCTACAGTAGCTCTTCGCTGGTCTCGGCAGCAAGATTCGCCGAGTCTCCCGTGATGTGGAGGTGGGGTGATGTTCACACATGTTATAGTGTGCACACGAAAAGCATCGACGCCCCTTTGTTCACCTCACGCTCAAACCCTTCAACATGTCGCACGCTGATATCTCCGACCCCTACGTCAAAGGCATCCAGTGCCACGTCGTCATTCGTCCTGATCGTTCCGCCGCCTGGGCTGGGGATGGCCAGTATCCGCACTCCATCAAGAGCATCGAGTCTTTTGCCGTGAGACCCCGATGGGTATTTGTGCGGGTCGAGACCGCAGGAGGAGTGGTCGGATGGGGTGAAGCGACCTTGGAGGGGCATAGTGAGGCCGTGGAGGGGAGCCTGAAAGACATCGCGCGCCGGTACGAGTACTCTCACGGCATTCTGTGTAGGGCTTATCCGGATCAGTCTCGTCGGCTGGGATGCCATGAACATCGAAGATGTAAGATTGCGGTACTCCTCGTGAAAGCTTACCCCAGATCCATACCTATCTTTATCGCCATCGATTCTACCGTGGAGGGGAGGTGAGTGATTCGCGAGGGTTCCGCGGGAACGACCATGCTGAACTTGCAGATTCTCATGTCTGCCATCAGCGGGTAGGTCACTCAGTGAACGGTTTGAAGTGCTGAACTCTCAGAGTTGACTGTGCACTCTGGTACGTGTCCCCGTCCTTCCTAGGCTTACAGCCAGGGACATCAAAGGGAAGGTGCTGGGTGTCCCCGTCTGGGAGCTGCTCGGCGGCAAGGTGCGGGAGCGATGCGAGATCTACACCCACATGTAAGCTCAAACACGTTTTCCAGCTGAGTTGTGATGCGTAGTGCCGGCGAGACGGTGGATGACATACGAGCGAACGCCAAGCTTCGCAAGGAGCAGGGGTACAGGAAAGTCAAGATGCCCGTGAGCCCTCAGATCGATATGTGGGGTGGAGGCTGAAAGCACCGTTCCAGGCCGTCGCCAATGTGAGCGGTTCACGTGGGCCACACTGAGCTAGGAGGTTGCATGGCTTGACTCGCCCGCTCTTCTCAATGAGAACTTGACACGATTCAAGGCGATCAAAGAAGCTGGTCTTGACGTCGCAATGTCAGTGGCGTACTTAGTGTCTTCGGGCGATCTCATGACATGGACCCGCAGCGACTTCCACGGCCGGCTTCACCGCGGAATGGCCAAGCAGCTTGTGAAGCTGCTTGAGCCACATCAGCCCTTCTTCGTTGAGGAGCCACTCCTGCCCGGTCACATTGCCGAGTTCAAGGACCTCATTGGGCAAACAAGTGTTCCAATTGCGGTGGGTACAGATCAGATGGGCGCCACCGGACAAAGAGGAGTCTGACACCGCCCACAGCTCGGGGAAAGACTTTACACACGCCTGGACGTTCGGCCGTATCTCGTGAGACCGTCTCAAGGATTCACTTTCACTGTCCTGACCTCCTTGGCAGGAGGCGAGCTGCATGGACATCATTCAGCCGGATCTGGCGCACGCCGGAGGTATCACCGAGGTCCGCAAGATCGCCGCCATGGCAGAGTGCGTCTCTCGTCCCGTCGTGATTGCAAGCTGAGTTCAGGGCGTACGACGTTGGTCTGGCCCCTCATTGCCCAATCGGTACGTGAAGGCTCACGACTTGAGTCGGACCAAGCTCGAGGTTCTCGGCTGAAGGTGGTCCCACAGGACCGCTGGGCATGGCCGCTTGCCTCCACGTAGGATTCTCCACTCCGTCTTTTGTCATTCAGGAGGTTATCATCGGAGTGAGTGGAGGTGCATCGGATCCCTCTGTCGTGTTGTGCTGACGCTTCGGGGCAGAGTGCCATGGACAAATTGGGCTTCGACCTGTACACTTACATGCTCAATCCCGAGTTTCTAGCGATCAAGGACGGGCACATTTCCCTCTTCGACCGACCGGGACTCGGTGTGGAGATCGACGAGGCGAAAGTCCGACAGGAATCCGCGAAGGCGATCCCATTCGAGAATGATGTTGTGAGGGGCGAGAACGGCGAGGTGCGAGAGTGGTGACTCTCCGTGGAGTGTATCACTTCTACCTTCGAAAGAGGTAGCATGCAGCAGCTCGACAATGAGGGACCTGACAACCAGGTGCATTGCTGAACAGCAACAGCCCAGGGGCGGTTACCGCGTGATGGCACAGTCTATAGATGGAGAGCGGCGCCCCTGTGCTGGATAAGCCGACGAACATGGCCTCATCTTGCACACCTGGCACCAGGGTCCTAACAGCAGTCAGGGCCTCGCCAGGGAGACCTGCAATCGACAACATCATCACTTACCTCCGTCATCCTGTCGAGCCGGGCAACCACAGCCAGGATAAAAGCGCGCTGAACATCTTGCAACGTGCGATGGTTTGATAGCTCAGCTGGGAGAGCGTGCGAGTGAAGATCTAGAAGACTCATTCGCAAGGCCGCTGGTTCAACCCCTGCTCGAACCACGTGACCGGGAACAAAGTTAGGTTGCCAGGCTTTTTGGCTCGAACCACTTTTTGACCGGTAGCGCATCGGTAGCGCATAGTTGGGTACTGCTGGCGCTGTGGCTGCGAACGTGAGGACTCGCGGCTATAACTATGTGGATGAAGCACGTCGAGTCCAAGATGATGTGCAGAGTCAGAAAAGCCGACAAGCCCACTAAGGATTGAGGCCAACAGGTTGCTCAGGGTCCATCGAAACTTCGGCCCGGTGTGAGCCGGGATGATTCACCGGCACAACGAGTACTCGCACAAAGATCCGTTTAACTACTGAAACGAATCTCATGAAAAGTCGTCGTCTGGCCATCCCCCAATAGTCATAGTCTGTCACAGCGGTTTGTGAGTAGTGCAGAGTCTGATGAGTCCGGAGCACCGGGGGAAGGGGAAGGGGAGGGGGGTGGGGGTGGGGGTCCAAGTGCGCTGAACAACCGTAGAGCACAGCTCAGACGAGAAACCAACGCATCCGTCGCAGATATGGCCAATGCTGATTACGGCGCATCCAAGCGGCCTACCTCTGGCGGGCCTGTCACGGCTGCAGAAAACACGAAGACCTCGGATGAGAGCAAGCGGCCCCTCAAGCATCATGGCGCGGTCAGCGTTGTGGTCGTCGCCCTGGCTGTCGGCGCCTTGGCTTTCCGTCAGGAGCTGCCCTCGTTGGATTTCGAATTCTTGACCCGCCCACCACACGTTGTCCCACCCTTGGCACAGGTCATCGACCAAAAGGCCTTCAACGTCCTTGGCGCAGTGCCACCCCCCTCCGAAGCCCATGGTACCTCTGTGAGTAGGTTTCCCTGCGTCAACATGGCAAGGCTGATGCACATGAGCAGTACTTTTTCCCGCCCGGAACGGACCGGTCCTCGCTCAAGGCCAAGCCGTTCCATATCTACGATGATGACTTCTACAGCATCGTCGGAGCTGAACCCACACTGACGCTTATCGCCGAGACGTCTGGCAACCCACTGTTCCACGAGGCGAACGTATGGTGAGTATTCCCTCACAGCTCTAGAGGTTAGCTGAAGATCTTCAGGTACCCTGAAACGGACGAGATGTTCTTCGTCCAGAACGCCGGCGCGCCTGCCGCCGGTACCGGCCTGAAGCAGTCGAGCATCATTCAGAAGATCTCATTGGCGCAAGCAGACGCGGTGAAGCACCAGATCAATGCGACCGGAATGGTGAACGTCGTCGAGGTCGACAGCAACCCTCAGGTGATCAACCCGAATGGGGCCACCAACTACAGGGGCAAGATCGTCTTCACCGGTGAGGGACAGGGCGACGTTGCGCCTGCCCTGTTCCTCATGGAGCCGACAGAGCCGTACAATACGACGGTTCTCCTCGACAACTACTACGGCCGCCAGTTCAACTCGTTGAACGACGTCGCTGTCAACCCACGAAACAAGGAGCTCTATTTCACCGACGTCTCATATGGCTATCTGCAGGACTTTCGCCCGCAACCCGTCCTGCCAAACCAGGTGTACAGGTACAACCCCCGCACTGGAGCGGTGACAGTTGTCGCGGATGGCTTCAAGCTCGTGAACGGTGGGTGACGCCCCGTGGAGATTCAGCTGAAGCAGCCAGGCATTACCTTCTCGCCCTCGGGTTCCCTTGCATATGTGACGGAAACCGGGGCCAACCGAGCCTTCCATGGCTGGGACTACTCTGAGCCGTCTGCAATGTGAGCAAGCGGCCTGTGAGTTGGCTGACGGGAAGATATCAGTATGACGTCGAGCTGGACGGCACGTGGAGCAACCGAAAACTCTTTGCCTTTGTCGACAGCGGCGTCCCCGATGGTGAGTGTCCGCCGAAGGCCGAATGGGGGATCGACTGACTCCATGGGGTATAGGCGTTCACTGTGATGCGGCTGGTAACGTCTACGCCGGTTGCGGAGACGGCGTGACGGCGTGGAATGCATCCGGAAAGCTGCTGGGGAAGATCTACCTCGGCGAAGTTGCTGCCAACTTTCAATTCGCGGGCAAGGGCAGGATGGTCATCTGCGCAGAGACCAAGCTGTACTATGCCACGCTTGCTGCGTCCGGTGCTCCCATCACCGACTACAAGTATTCGGGTACATACTAGAGTGCATCTGGGATGTTTCGGCTCGATGACAATTGCAAGGAGTCGAACTTTTGGCCCGATGTGGTGCAAACCGGAGTGATCATCGCTCCGACCGTCCGCGAGCATGATGTCTCCAACTCTCCATTGGAGAGGCAATTCCGAGCAGTTCGGGACACGAGCTTCATCATTCCAAGAATAGCATGACGGCGGCATTGAGGTGGCAAGAGGTGTGCAAGCCGGAAGGATAATCAGGGCAAGAGATGTCCGTAGCCCGTCCCGCTAGCCACCAACGTCAAGTGTAGGGTCATCTCACGTGACTCGGCTCCTCTCTCGTAGCTCCGCTCAACAACCCCACCCTGCGGCAACCCGAATGGCAGAGCACGATCTCCGCGGGTTTGTTCGCGTTATCTAGCTGCCGACTGGAGGGCCCCTGAAGCCACTTCAGCTTACTACCCAACTCGGCAGCTTGGCTTCAATCCGGATGTAAATCAGACTTTATGGCTCTTTACCAAATGTTCAAATCCAAATCCTGTCCTTGTCGAGCGGGACGGAGACTCCGACGGCATGGCACTCTTGCATGCGCCCGAAGGATGGCATTTTCGGAACGATGCCGCCCGTGGAGCGTGGTTGGTCCCCACTGGAGAACCCCGATGTACCTCCCCTTTTCGATCCGGGACGATGCCGGAGCCAGGAAATCATCAGTGAGATGGCACTGATGCAGACATATAAGAGGGCCCATAGGAAATATTTCGCACTCCACTCCCGGATACCCACTAGCACAATGAAACCTCTCTCCACCCCGTTCACGACGTTCACCGACCGCATGCGCGGCCGCGGGAACAAGGCTCTATACATTGAATATGCCATCACTATCTGCTGTGGGCTTGGGTACGTTTGCAACGGGTCCGGCGGCAAGTCTCATTGCTGATCATGCCCGTAGCTCCATGCTTTTCGGGTACGATCAGGGTGTCTTTGGAGGACTCCTCGACAGTACCTCGTTCATGGCCCGATTCCCTTCGATCTCGAACGGCAACTCGACACTGCAAGGCTTTACCGTGAGTGTCGCGGCGGCGTGTGGAGTCGATGCGAGGCTTACCGTTCCCAGGTCGCCGTCTACGAGATTGGGTGCGCCATCGGTGCTTTGAGTGTCGTCCTCTGGGGTGACAGGTACGGTCGTCGTGCCACGGTCGTGTACGGCATGATCGTGCTCGCGATCGGTGCGGTGTGGGTATCTTTGATCTGCCCGTCGTTTTCCACCTCTCATGCTCCCGCAGCTTGCAGTTCCTCTCTTACGGCCTACCCCAAATGATTGTGGGACGTATCGTCAGTGAGTGCCGCCATTTTTCTCGTTGCGTGGAGCAGCTCTCACCCTCTGGCAGCCGGTATCGGAAACGGCTTGACAACCAGTGTCTTGCCCATGTGGAACGGCGAATGTGCCCGAGACCACAGCCGAGGTCGGGCTGTCATGTGGCAGCTTAACATCAACATCGTGAGCGATGACTGACCCGGTAAACCTTGTACATCGCGCTGATATCATTAGTTTGGTATCGCTCTTGCCTATTGGGTGAGCCCGACGTTTCCCTAGTATTCACGTTGCAAATCTCACACCCGTTCAGGTCGACTACGGGCTTAACCAGTCGTCCGCCACCATGGACACCGAGTGGTCTTGGCGATTCCCGCTCGCGCTCCAGGTTGTCTTCGCCGCCGGTACCATTCTACTGGTGTGCTTCCTCCCTGGTGAGCCGACATCGTGCCATTTGGCGAGCCAAGCTGAGCAAATCAAGAATCCCCCCGATTCCTGGTCATGAAGAACCGTTTGGCCGAAGCACGTGATGTGATGGACATGCTTTCCACGATTGAGGACGCCCAACAGCGCAAGGCCGTTGTCGTGAGTTCCCGCGTGCACTGTTGGGGACGCGATGGCTCACCCGGAGACAGGACGAGAAGATGTTCGCCATCGAGCACGCCCTTGACGAGGAATCCGTCGCGGTGACTCGCAGCTGGACGCAATGCTTCACTCAAGGCAAACCGCGATACTTTCAGCGAATGGTGCTGGCAATCGTTGCTCTCTGCATGCTGCAGCTCTCGGGTATCAACCTGATCACCTACTACGCGTGAGTTTATCTGCGTGCACAGGGCGCGTCCACTGACCATGGCGAAGCCCGGTCATCTTCCAGGACACCATTGGCATGTCCAGGAACACCAGTCTGCTTGTCACGGTACGTTCACTATGGCATCGGAAACATCTTGTTCCGGGACGGTGTCAGCTGACAGAGCATTGCTGTAGGGCTTCAACGGTCTCGCTTACTGGCTCTGCACGTTCATTCCCTTGCCACTGATTGACCGTCTCGGCCGTCGGCCCCTGATGCTCTTCGCCGCCGTCGGACAGACCATCACCATGGCCATTCTCGCCGCCATGATCGCCGACGGCAGCTCCAAGGCCAAGGGATACGTGGCTGCTGCGCTTCTCTTTGTGAGTGACCTCAGGGTCATCGGCCGACACTTCCTGACGCGTCTCAGGTCTTCAACGGTTTCTTCGCTGTCGGGTTCTGCGGCATCCCTTTCCTGCTGCCCATGGAGCTCACCCCGCTCGCCACGCGTGCCAAGAGCGTCGCTATTGCCACCGCTTGCTTCTGGTCTTGCAGTGAGTCATCGCGGCGTGTTGTCATTCCGAATCTCGTTACTGACAGTGTGCAGACTTCTTTGTCGTGATGATCTCGCCCGTGCTTATTGCGCGCATCAAGTGGGGCACTTATGTGCTCTGGACAGGCACCAATCTCGCCTTCATCCCGCTCATCTACTTCTTCAGTGCGTCAGTTTCGTCACAGTCCCAGTACACGCTGACCGGTCGCAGTCCCCGAAACCCTCAATGCCGCTCTCGAAGACATCGACACCCTCTTCGAGACGTCCTCCAC